CATTACCAACGTGTGCAGCAACTTTTGCCGCGAGATGCAGAACAGCGGATCTGCTTCTGTCAAGGTATTCTCCACAGAAATACTCACAGCGCTTTTAGCATATTTCTATTAATATCATTAATATGTTTACCATTAATATAACATATGCAGGGTTACTGGCACAGTATCGGCAGGATGTGACATTTCCTGACCGTATTTTGTGGACGGATGAAGCTACGTTTACTCCTAATGGCGTCTTCAACTCTCGCAATTTCTTGCTCTGGCAAGAGGAAAATCCTCACGCCATACGGGAAGGTATTTTTCAATATCGCTGGTCCATTAATGTATGGGCAGGAGTAACAGCGGACCGAGTGGTAAATATTCTTGTAAATTAAGAAATGTTTTCTTCCTCATATTTTCCTCATAATGTGTCCATTTGCGCTTTTCAGATAGACCCATATTTTCTGCCGCCACGTCTTAACGGACAGGCGTATGGACACTTCCTTCGTAACGATTTGCCGATACTTCTGGAGGACGTTCCTCTCCACATGCGGCAAATACTAGTATTCCAACACGACGGAGCTCCGGCACATTCCGCTCGTCAAATACGGCATATTTTAAATACGCGTTTTCCGGAAAGGTGGATGGCTCGAGGTGGCCCAATCACCTGGCCGGCATGGTCGCCAGATTTGAATGTGCTCGACTATTTTGTTTGGGGCTATGTTAAAGCTTCAGTCGAGCACAGGCGTGATGGTAATGAAGATGAAGTACGTGAAGCAATTGTTGCGGCCTTTAATACCATCACGCCGAACATGGCGCACCGTGCGACGCAACAGATAATTCGAAGAGCTGAACTCTGTTTACAAGCAGAAGGAAGCCACTTCGAACAGTTATTGCCTTAAATAATGAGAGTGGATTAGGCCTACTGGGGAAACCACTTAAAAAAAACGCGCCAAGTTATCTACCTCAGGGTGGTGTGAAAATGATAGTGGAAATGATGATTTCCTTTTTCACAAATTTACAAACGCCTTTTGTAAATTTACGATATACCTAGGTTATTATACGTGGTATTCGTCATGTTCTCCTTTCGTAAGTATTTTATTAAGTAATTACGATGTGCTCGTCAACAAAATTATGGCATAGGTAAATACATTTCGAAATTTAGTACAATTTTCAATGAGCATAATACTGCGAAACATTATGGTA